TTTGATTTAATCTCCAGCTTAACAAAATCCAACTTTCTGTGGCTGCTTACATCTATTCCATTATTCTTTTTTTGCTCCCTACACACCAAGCTTACATCAAAGATGTTGTAAAACAAATGCTGTTCCATTTAGATAAGGGCTATATTTAACAAGAAAAAGTACAGTCGATAAAGGGTATTAACGCAGAGTTTTGTCAAGCTGTGTCTTCACGTAAATAGCTTTATACCTGTGCACTGATGTGTCTGACAAATACAGCTGCTGATAACAACATGAACAAAGTTGTGAGTACATTAATAATTGCTTACTCTTGCTTACCCACAGTAAAGAAATACATCTTGATCAATAAAATACAAAGGAAAATATCAATCCCCCCATGGCAAAATATCCCACACGTAAATCTACACAAATCTAGGTGCATTTAGGGGTCAGCATTAAAGTGACACTAAACTCAGGAGTTAAATCTTACAAATACATGCAAGTACCTTAAGTATCAACAAAAATGTATCTTATTAGTATATCACTCGGCTGTAGATCCTCAAATCATCTCTGAATTCATGCTGACATTCATGCACTAAGTGAACTGTCAGTACTACTTCAATAGTATGGGGTAGACATGCCAAGAACAGGCCTTAGTACTACATTTAGTGTGTATGAATGTTGCACAAGGTATATACCGTATATACTCGAGTATAAGCCGTCCCGAATATAAGCCGAGGTACCTAATTTTAGCCAAAAAAACTGGGAAAAAGTATTGACCCGAATATAAGCCGAGGGTGGGAAATGAGGCAGCTACTGGTAGATAGATACCATTAAAATACATTAATATTTATTTAAAAGAAAAATAACCTAGCTCTGTAAGTGGAAAAGGGGGTACAGGGCTACATATCATGTACTACGGATCATTTAACCCATTCATATTAGCAGAGGATAATTGTAAATCTATTGTTCAGTGCACTCTATATGTAGTATATAGTACATGTACATATAGAGTGCCTGCAACAATACATTTACAATGATCCTCTGCTAACATGAATGGGTTAAATGATCCATAGTACAGGGCTACATACAGATCATTTAATACATTCATGTTAGTATAATTGTAAATGTATTGTCTGCACTGTATTAGCAGTATATACTCTATATAGAGTATATACTGCTAATACAGTGCAGACAATACATTTACAATTATACTAACATGAATGTATTAAATGATCTGTATGTAGCCCTGTACTATGGATCATTTAACCCATTCATGTTAGCAGAGGATCATTGTAAATGTATTGTTGCAGGCACTCTATATGTACATGTACTATATACTACATATAGAGTGCACTGAACAATAGATTTACAATTATCCTCTGCTAATATGAATGGGTTAAATGATCCGTAGTACATGATATGTAGCCCTGTACCCCCTTTTCCACTTACAGAGCTAGGTTATTTTTCTTTTAAATAAATATTAATGTATTTTAATGGTATCTATCTACCAGTAGCTGCCTCATTTCCCACCCTCGGCTTATATTCGGGTCAATACTTTTTCCCAGTTTTTTTGGCTAAAATTAGGTACCTCGGCTTATATTCGGGACGGCTTATACTCGAGTATATACGGTACTGGAAAACAAATAGAGCACTCTCATATTAGCACCACCTCTGCATTCATAAAAAAACAGATGTTTTGTAAAGGGAAAATAACCGCTTAATGCTTGCTGAACAATACCCTAGATGCATTTGTATATATCTTTGAATCTCAAGGAAATGTCTAATCTATGCAACATAAAGATGCCAACACAGAAAGAGCTAATTGTTCTCTTTTCATTACAAGAAGTCAAATATTGCTAATGTATTTAACATGGCATGCACCAATACAATTGGGTCAAAACATGATAATATTTTGGTTGGGTCACAAAGTTTAAAGTTTGGCACTATATTGCATGCAGACACTTAGAAACATGTACTAAGCACTTGAGGTCTTCAAGTTCTTGTCTCTAGAAATTTGATAAAATATCATAAAAACATAAAATGTGATAAACATGGCTGTCTTTTTTCAGCGCTGATCCATGCTGGGTACTTTTTGCCATTTACAGATAAACTATATGATGTAATTCTGAACAAAGCATAAATAACTATACTGATTTAAATGTTTCCAACTGGTAAGAGAGTTTACAACATCAAACCCGCCGCTTGTGACACATTTATCTAGGTAAAGTGGCTCTTGCAGGTACATTGGTTGCTCAAATTCTTATCACATAGGAATGCAAACCTCGTGACAGAAGATAATTGCTGTCTGTGAATCAAAGTCTTCAAAATGAGGTGATCTGAACTTAGGGACACAAATTACACAAACCACATTACACCTGTCTGTGAACTGTCTGACATCTTCACTCAGTTTGGTTTATTCTGTCTATGATTATATCCTACTTGGCAATCCTGATATACAGTAACTAAGGTAATTATCTTATACAACTGACACAGTAAAAAGACAATGAAGACACTGTAGAAATGGATCAGCAGTTTTGTGAAGTGGGGGGTACTAAGATTTAACTCCTGAGTTTAGTGTCACTTTAATGCTGACCCCTAAATGCACCAAGATTTGTGTAGATTTACGTGTGGGATATTTTGCCATAGGGGGTTAATATTTTCCTTTATATTTTATTGATCAAGATGTATTTCTTTACTGTGGGTAAGCAAGAGTACCCCCCACTTCAGTAGTTTTGTTTTTTCCTGGAAAAGGTTTCAATCACATTGATCAAGATCCCAGAAATGTTGTCTAGGATATCAAGATAGCCATCATAACAGGCACTGTCTTTTCCAGCTTTGACTCTGAATCAATAAAATGTGTTTCTTTAATATTTCTTTATTTTATGTTAAACCAATGGAAGGAATATAATACAGTCTCATAGCAGGTAGGTAGTGTTAAGCTGGCCATACACTCATGGCCGTCTTTACCGCAGGGCAAATGGGTCAGGTGCCCCGGGCCCTATAATTTACAGGGGCCCACAAACATACACCTTACAACCTTGTACAACTTTTTTTGTGAATTGCCTGTACAGCAGCCCTTCGTTTCGACTAAACCAAAGGGCAGAAGCAGCCGAAGCGAGGCCGAAGCTAAAGTTGGATCCTTCGGCTCTTTAGAGAATAACCTCCCAAAGACAACAAACATGGCCTTTCACCACACCGATGGTGTGTAGATATTGTTTGGTGAGCAAACTGTCTCCTGATGGCCACTCCTATAGGCTGGATGGAGGCGGATAGGACACGCAGGCCCCACTGTCCCTAGTGGTCTCTGTGCTGCAGGCACATCTTTGGGGTCATGAGAGAGGCAGTGTACAAGGCCCTGGACCTCCACTCCCTAGCCTGCAATGTTCCCTTAGTGCTTCAGTGTCTTCCCTGGTGGCTTGTGGGTCCCTGCAGATCTCTCTCTCAAAGTCACAGACTGTCCACTCTGCTGCTGCTTTTACATGTCTCGTGTCCTCAGGGTTCTCCTGGTGCCTAATGGGTTCCCTCCTGGCATCCTAGGTCCTTTTCCCTGCATGCAGGCTACACTCTACCTGGACAGCAGCTCTCTCCCTGCAGACTCAGGTCCTCCCCGAGGTTGTCTCTGCCCGCCATTTCTCTCACCTCTCCCCAGGCTCCTCTCTAATGTTTCCTGGGCTCTCCAACCCTGCTGCCCAACAAGCTCTGTACACCTGGGGCCAGTGAGCCGGACTAAAATTTCCTAGGCACAGCTGCAGCCCATTCCAGTGCTCCCCCTTTCCTTCTGATGGTGGGCTGTTTGATGGCCATCAATCCTAATTGAGGAACAGAATCTGGCAGTTCAGCAGTGATGATGCCATGAGCTGTGCGGCTCCCACTGGTTAAAAGGGCCACCAGCCAGGGCTAAAGATGTGCTAACAAAAACAAGATTTCTGCTACCACGTGAATGGGTATTTAAAGAAAGTACAGCTTCACCTTGCTCACTAACATTTACTTTCCAAATTGCTGCAGAGGACCCAAGAGATCAACACAATGGTTTACGTGCAGACTTTAGCAGAAGATTTCTCAGGATTGGAGTGGTGTTCCCCAATTCAGGCAGCAGGAAAGGTAAGTATTACTATTGCGGTTGGGTCGCTTACTATTGCGGTTGGGTCACTCTATGCAAAAGACTGAGTAGTGAAAGGTAATATATTCTATACTATAACATTGAAAATAATGTGCTTTAATTCATTGTATTTTAAGAATTACTGGTTTGTAAAATTTACACTGGTCCATAAGGGTCAAAGGCAAACAGGCATGACTCCCAGAGCCATGCTGGTATTCGAGGTTTCACCACAGCTGGGGTGCCGAGGTTGCCTACCCCTGCTGTAAAAGACCATACAGGCTTACCTTTCCAGCTGCATGCGCTGTTAAACTCCACTCAAACGCTGAAAAATCTTCTGCTGAGGTCCACACTGTAACCGACACTTCCAGGAGTGTCCTCTCCCCCTTGGCTTTCATTGGCCCATCCCCTCTGATCACTACAAATTACAGTATACAGTAGTGACATGGAGGCCAGAGTGAGGAACCAATGAACGCCCTGGGATGGGAGCCTGGAGATCAACATTCTAAGTAGTATCAGTTTTAGTGCAGACTTTAGCAGAAGATTTCTCAGGATTGGAGTGGTGTTCCCCAATTCAGGCAGCAGGAAAGGTAAGTATTACTATTGCGGTTGGGTCGCTTACTATTGCGGTTGGGTCACTCTATGCAAAAGACTGAGTAGTGAAAGGTAATATATTCTATACTATAACATTGAAAATAATGTGCTTTAATTCATTGTATTTTAAGAATTACTGGTTTGTAAAATTTACACTGGTCCATAAGGGTCAAAGGCAATTTTTGCTAAAAAAAACTGATTATATATATATATATAAATATATATATAATGTATAGGGATTACTGTTGATTAGTGTGTCATTGAACAAAACAACTGGAAAAATCAATATTATGGTCTCTAATGGGATATATTTTTTCTTTGTATTTTACAGAAGCTGAAAAAACACCCAAGTACTGGAATGATCAGGCCAAGGAAACATTAGCAAATGCTATCAAACTGACCCCCAATAACAATAAAGCAAAGAATCTCATCATGTTTCTGGGAGATGGTCAGTACAAAGGAGATAAAGTACCATGAACCATAAGCAGTTGTGTTAATAAAAAATATAGGTGCCTGAGGAAATCAGGTTATACAACATAAATTACCCAGAAATCATATGGCTGAGTCAGAAATGATCATAGTTTATCCTGGTAGTGCTGAAGTTTGAATGAGTATGGGCACATCTGTATCTTTTTTTTCATTCTTGGCGACAGATGTACTCCTTTTTAGCTACCCTTATTATGTAATCCAAGTCACCTAGTATTTTTGGATCAGTTCTTACTACCCAAAAAGCAATAAATATAATAGTCTGGGCTTTCTTTTCCAACACATCAAAACAAGTATACAATCATCTTTAAGGGCCTACTTTATAGCAATTGATGTATTTCAGAGGCATAACTAGAAAACTCAGGGCACCTGTGCAAGAAACCATGAACCCCACTCCACCCCCTAAAAAAATGTCGGCACCTTGGTAGTTATCGGGGAAGTGCATGTGTGTAGTCCCAGAAGGCAGGGCCCCCAGTTGAAATCTTGGGACCCCCATATAGGTGGTGCTGTGCGGATTCATTATTATTATTATTAATAAAAAAAAAAAATTATAATTTTTTTTTACTTTTTATCATTTTTTACTTTTTATCAATTTTTTTCCATTTTTATGTATTTTACTATTGTATCAATGCAATTTTATTTTGTTATTTTTTTTCTATTTTTTTTTATTTCTTTTTTTCACTTAAATTTATTGCTATCACACAGGGGATAACAAGCCCTTGTGTGAAAGTATTCGGAGGTGACAGGCTCTCTATATGAGCCTGCCCTCCAATACAGAAGATAGAGCACACATGTGCTCTATCTTCTGTACAGCTCAGGCTGTGACAGCTGACACAGGAGTGCTGTGAGTACAGCGGTCCTGTGTCACTGACCACGGAGCAGAGAACAGAGGTTCTCTGATCTGCTCCCTGCTCTCCATCCTGACTGCCTTGCTGTGGGCTGGGATCCTCCAGAAGAGCAGGGGACCTCGAAAACACAGAAGAAGGCAGCTGGCTGGGCGTGCTTGTATACACAAGCAGGTTGCATACATTTAGCCCTGCTTTCCTGAAGCAGGGCTAAATGTAGAGCAAAAATCCAGCCCGGTGCCCCTTCAGACAGGCCCCCCCCCCTCCCCAAGTGGAGGAACGCCAGGGCCCGGCCCCAAATGCGACTTCTGCGACCCTGGTCGTTCTGCCAGTGATATATTTATAACACCATTTGATAAACAATTCTATTGGGCATATATATTGGGAATGTATGGGGTCAACAAGCAAATCATTTATTCTAAAGTATATGATTTTTAAGTTAAGATATTTCTGCTCCTAATAATCCAACTAAAGAAAACCAATGAACATTTCTGTTATTATAGTGAGATGGTTATTAGCTCTCTTTTATTTGTCTGTCTTTTATCACTTGATATTTTGTAACAGGAATGGGTGTCACCACAATAACTGCAGCTCGTATATACCAGGGACAATTGTTGAAGCAGTCTGGAGAGGAGAATATATTAGAGATGGAGACATTTCCTTATGTTGCACTTTCTAAGGTAAACAGTGCTCTAATTCTCTTTTGACATTCTCATTTATTATTGTCAGCTCATGATTAATGTAGTCCTTAATATAACTATTCCTTTAAGAAAAGATAATGGAAGAATTGCTAAGAGACAGATTTAAAGTCCCAATGCTATTGTAGTTTACAAGAGGTTGAGTAGCACCAAAACATTTACATTGCCAAAAACATTTACCAGCGCCAAAAACATTTACCATGACTGATTCTCCCAGAAAAGTCCATGGGCACAAGGGCAGTCCAAACAGATCCAGCTGTCAGGCAGATCTAATCGGAAACCCAATGTAGCTCTGTAAGCAGCCGCATGTAAAGAGATGTGCGTCCATTTATATCCAATTATCTCTGAGTCCTTCTTAAAGGAGAACTATGAGGTGAGTGCTTTTCACTCACCTCATAGTTCTAGCCGACCTGTGGCACTGTCACAGGTCGGCTCAGTAGATCGGGAGGTGAGCGAACACATACCGCCGTTCGCTCACCTCTCGATCCTGTCACGGCTCTCTGCCATGACAGTGGAGGGCTGGATTCCCCCCTCCCCGCTCCGATCCGCCAGCGCTGACTGGCGGAACGGACTGGGGAGGGGGCGGGAACAGCTGGCTCTGCCTCTAGATAGGCAGAGCCAGCTGTCAGTCACGCAGCTGGGCAGATCCCGGCACAATTGTCGGGATCGGCTTCAGCTGCGGCGTCTCAGTATACCGTGAGCTACAGCTCGCGGTATACTGAGCCTAGGGTGACGGGAGGACGCTAGTTTGTGTCCTCCCGTTACCCTAAGGAGAACTATGGGGAAAAGCCTTAACCCCATAGTTCTCCTTTAAGCTGCCCATACACCTTGCAATCATCGGGCAACACGATTTTTGTACGGCGGCCCCATCCTGCCCCAATTATCGCGGGGTTGGATCAGCTGTAATTAAAAGAAAGCACCTGGACAAATTGCGGTAATCGACCGCACGTATTTTCGTCTGCACATGTGCGGTGTAAATCGTACGAATTTTGACGTATGGAAACGCCACCAACCTTGCGAAAATCGTACGATTGACCGAAGCTTTCCAACCTGCTGGTTAGACAAAGGTCGATCGATTGTACAGTATTTGCGGTTGCGCACTGCCCATCAACCTTATGAATATCGGACAAAAACACGATCGCATAAGAAAATTGTCCGACATTTGTAAGGTGTATGGGCAGCTTAAGACTCAGCGGTGTCACTGCTTGCCAGGAACTGGGTGGGACACCAGCCCAGACCCGGATCAGGAACCCCTGGACTTTACATTTCACAGACACTAATGAGACTGAAAGAATAACTGTACATAGCCACAAATGGAATCCCTAACTCTTACAAAAGCACTCAGCAGGGAATACGATCCTAAAATCCATGCTTATTCCAAAATCCATAACAAAGGAAAATGAAAAACTAAAATGTATGCCCATTATCCTGGAAAGTCCTCTACGGCTGCAGTAACTTCAAATGTTAAACATGAGCCAAGAACAAATAGTTATGATTTGCAAATATTAAACAGGACTAAATGTTATCTTTAAAATGCAATTAATCTTCGCTATTTGACTGTACACAGCTTATTGAAGAGAAATTATATTATGTACTTACCAAGCTTGCAGAATTTCATGTTTATGTATGTGTAAGCCGATTCCCACGATTCAGAGTTTGCAGAAGTGAAGTGCTTGGACGCTTCTAACATGCAGCATGTGAGAACAGTCTGCCATTTCCACTATGAGATGAGAGAAGGTAGTGGTTGCTGATAAACAGGTAGTTAGCCTCAAGTATTGGAGAGTGGAATAGTGACTGGTTCTCTGTTCCTGTACTGCAGCAGTACTCTCACAGGGTTATTCACAAAAGGGTGAGGAGTTTGGAGAAGGCAGTAGAAGTGAACGATCTAGGACAACCTACCTGAACTGGAACGTGAGCTGAATTGCAGAATTTCTCCAAATCAGTTATGTTGTCCTAGATTGTTCCCTTCTCCTGCCTTCTCCGAACTCTTCACCCTTTTGTGACTAACTCTGTCAGTGTAATTTTTCTACAATCAACATCTCTGATTAGACTACTGACCAGAGTGCCTGTGATTTTGGATTACTGCTTTTACAGGATACTGACTGTCTGTTTCTGCTGTTTTTGTTACTTGCCAAAGAAGCTCCTTCACATTTTCAGATCTGAGACTCACACTACTAACTACAGTGTATGCACTTTTAGAAAATTGCTTTCACAACAGGCTGACAGGCTGTGTATTCTGTTTTTGTTATTTGGCTTCAAATCTTTTACAATTGCAGATCTGAGCTATTTGACCACTGCGCCTGTGCTTTTAAAAAATGTCTGACAAGCTGTGTCTGCTGATTACATTATCTAACAGCAAAACTGACTATTTCATTTTCCTTTTTATTCCATAAAGTATATTGTGCTAAATAAATCTTCCTCTTGTGAAAAAGTTGCCCACCAAACATACCACCCACACCTTACAATGTACACAACTCACAAAAATCAGGCCCCAGTGTAAAAGAAAGGTTACACGTATATCTTCACCTTTACTTTTCTGAAGGTATATTACTACGGAAAAAACCCTGGGGCCATGCTAAAAAAAAATATGAAACACAATTCTGTGTTTAAAAGTCAGAATTCCCAGAATTCTGAATTTTAAACACAGAATTGTGTTTCATATTTTTTTTTAGTGTAGCGCTCACCCCCGAAGGAGCCGCTTAATGATCGGGTTTTTCTATCACCCTGCACCAATGTACCGCCAAAATCGTGGATCCACAGCACACCAACACACCTTTGAACGGTTTTATAGCAGATTTAATAATAACACAATATATGAAGCAACTATGGCAATAGTATACCCAACAGTCACACAAAAGGATATTAAACAGCAGGCTAAGGCATTCTGCAACTCAGTAGCTGCAGCTATCTGCTGTCAGCACTGAGGTATACGAGGCCAATTGTCTTTAAATGTCCTCCCTTGAATGGGGTGTAGGTCCCTTTAAGGTTTCCCTTTGGCAATGCCCAAACCTTCCTAGACTACTAGCCAGTAGTGGTGTCCTAAGCTAGCCAGCGTTGGGGGCCCTTACTGTAGTGCAGGTATGAGCAGCAAACAGGTTGTCAACGTGGCCAAAGGCCTCTCACCAATCCTCGGGTCAGTTGGAGAAGATGACATACACCAGGGTGTTTTATCCATCACCATCAAACTATACAGTTAAAACTGTACTTGTTGTGTTGTCTTTTTGGCACATTTTTGTACCTGTTAGGTAGTGGCAAGTGTGTTACATTATGTTCTACTTTTTCTTGCCATCATTCCTACAATTTTGCTCCTTGTATCAGTGCTGCATGTGTGACCAATTGCGGGCCAGCACATTTTGTCCAAAAAAAAAAAAACAACACGAAAAACTTTCCTTCCCCATGTGACACTAGTCACCCAAATAGAAAAGATGGGAAATCACCACACTGTGGACACATGCAGTGATATAAATCTGAAAATCTGACAGAGGTTGTAATCCTTCACTGAGCTATCAAAAGAAAAAAAAAAGGCTTCTACTTTAAAGCAGTATTAAAGGCAGGGAAATGTTTTACCCTAATGCATTCTATGCCCCCCTCCCCTCGTCCAACTTACCTAACTTACCTATCACCACCGATTGTAACTGCCGCCGGCCCCCGAATCGATCCTCCGCCCCGAACTTCCTGGTTGCAGTGGGAGGAGATTGAGCGCAGAGGAGCCATACGCTGGCTGCCAGGCTGTGTGTTTCTATGGGCAGCTGGGAACGAGCATGGATGGGTGCCTCCATAGCAGCAGTTAACTGATGGAGGCATTCGTGCAGGGGGCGGGGGTAAAGCACTGCAGGGACCACTGGAGAAAAAGGAATTGAAAGATTTAAAAAAACAAAAAACAATACAAGATCTGAATCTTACAGGGGTGCTGCCATGTCTAAAAATAAAAAAAGGAAAGGTTTATTGTCACTTTAACTGCTCTGGGGGAAATGTTACATAGAGTATGTGATAATTTTATACGCGTAAACGCTGAACATTGAACAAAGTGTCAAACAGAACAAAGTATGAACAAGTTATGTCCAATTGAAAGTATAAAAAATGGTTCTGTCTGTCTCGCCTTTTCCTGTTAAAGCTGTTAAGAATTAGCAGACCTTATATTTATGTTTCCCTAGACCAGGGAATTGCCCATTAGGTAGATCGCAAAGCGAACACTGGTAGATTGCGATCGGCTCACTGACCCGTGTCCTGTCCTCCCGCCTCCCGCGGTGCTTGTGCAGCTGAATGTGTCAGACGCCGCAGACGGGAAGGAGAGAGGAGAGGAGACTTGGGAAGCTGCTGCAGTGGAGGTAAGAAAAGACAGACAGGAGAGAGACAGCAGAGAAAGTTGGAGAAGAGACAGCACAGAGAGAGAGGAAAGACAGCAGAGAAAGTGAGAGAAGAGACAGCAGAGAGAGAGAGAGAGAGAAGAGACAGCAGATAGAAACAGGGGAGAGAGAGAGAGGAGAGAGCACGAGGAGAGAGAGAAGAGAGGGCCGGTTCACACCACAAAGTTTGAGTTCCAGAGTGTTCGGCCTCTAGAACGCATTGGAACGCAAGCCCGCCGGCTCCCTGCGTTCAGGGGCGGGAGGGGGCGTGGTGGCGCATTGAAGTCAATGGTACCACAGTCACGCCCCCGCCCTCAGTGTTATCGCCCGCACCCGGAACGCAGGCACATTAATGCCTGCGTTCCTGTCCAAGCGATCTGCAAAAATATGCAAAAATGCAGCATTTTTGCAGATCGCACTAGACCGGAACTCAGGCACTAATGTGCCTGCATTCCCGGTGCGTCGATTGCACTGGGGGCGTGGCTGCAGTGCCATTGAGTTCAATGCGCTGCCACACCCCTCCCACCCCTGAATGCAGGTGTTTTTTCATTGGTAGATCTCATTGAGCTCGACATTTCAAAAGTAGATCTCCAGACGAAAAATTGTGGGCGCATCTGCACTAGACCATAACCAGGAAAAAAATTACTTGTACAGTAATATTATCATATTAACAGATTAATTCATTTGATGCCTGTTTGGTTGTTAGGTAGGTAATGTGAACAGTGGTAGTATAATTGTTTCTGTTTCTTATTGTAGGTGTACAATGTAGATGCACAGGTTCCAGACAGCGCAGGTACAGGAACAGCCTATTTGTGTGGGGTAAAGACTAATTCTGGGATGCTGGGTGTGAGTGCAGCTGCACAGCCTTCAGTCTGCACTAGTGCCAATGGGAATGAAGTGGAATCCATACTTCACAGAGCAAAGCAAGAGGGTGAGTAGCCACTGTGCAAACAAATATATCAACTGTACAGACAAGAAACTTTTGGATAGGGTCAGTCTACCCAAATTTCATATTTTTGCCAAATGGTGGCGTGTCAAAGCACTGAACTTTTACTTATATTTCTAGGGACTGATGTGTATGTAGCGATGACCCCTAAAGGAGCCGCTCGTAATTAGTGCCTCCTACCTGTTAAGCAGTTACCATCCCCGTTTTCAGCTCCAGCAACACCAGCACTTCTTAATGAAAAAGCTCGAGTCTTAGGGTCTTTTTAGTATTTATTGCTCAGTGATATAAAACTAAGGAGAGAGGGTCAAAACTAGAGGACAGCATCTGCTCCAATAGCAATATTAATAGCAACAGGTCCTATGGGAGCGACCACAAAAAAATATATTCTTCAAACAGAGAACAGCCAAGAAAATCTATGACTCTGTAAGAGCACTCACAGTCCTTGTAGTGCAACAACTGGCTTCTGTTCCTCTGTGTTTGGTACCTGGGTGATGAATCCTTCCTACGATGTCCAAATGGCAGCTCCTCTGCGACACCTTCCAGCAAGAAGGTCCTTCTCCAGCTTAGCCTCCATAAAGTATTCACTCCAGCCATAAGTTAGGCCTCAGAGCCCCCCAGCACATGCACATGCTGAGGCCCAGGCACTGTACATAGTCACACAGACTTCCTCCCAGGGAGAAGCCCCAGGGGAGAGAGCTTTCCGGAAAGGTGCTCCCCAAAAATGTATCACCTTAACCATTCATACAGGGCCGTCTTTAATATTAATTGGGCCCTGGGCAAGATTTTGCTATGGGCCCCCACAACCTTCCTGCCTCCATCAACCGACCCCCTACTTCCTGACCCAGACCCCCATATCCACCTACATCACCTTTACCCTAAAAGAAATTAAAAAAACAAATAAATGAATAAATGTACATATTTCTATAGTTCAGTGCAATAAGGCAACGGACTCAGGACTCTGAAAGGCAATAGAAGTAGTGATAGTAGTGATGGTGGTCGGCTGCATAGAAGCCTGGCACACAGGTCTATTCTCTGAGCACAGCATACTCAATGAAATGACAAAATAATGGAAACCCTCATCACATCCAGCACTGATGTTGCTCTCTATGCCCTGCACACTGCTCCCATCCACAGCCAGCATGCCCCCCGCATCATCCTTTGCCAGCCGGGCGCTCCGCTCTTTGGAGCTTCAGACAATGGGTAGAGATGAGCCCAGCTCCGGCTGCTCCCAGCACACAACGATCCGCGGAGGCTCCTTCCTCTTCAGGCTGCTCGGCTCAGCTATCTACCGGCTCCAGCTGTGCGTCTCAGGCCTGTGTGCCCTATAGATCCAGCAGGCCACCACCTGCCAATCACCCCCCACCAAGCTGCTACCTATACGCGCACCATGCCAGCAGTCCCCCGGCCCAGTCCGCCCCTGCCATCAGCAGTGCTGCTGCTCTCCTGCCTGCTGCTGCGGGCAAAAGGGACAGCTGCTGTGGGCCCCTGTAAATTATGGGGCCCAGGGCAGTTGCCCCTTTTGCCCTGCGGTAAAGACAGCCCTAATGAGGCAGCGGGGTTCCGAGGAGAAACGGTCCACTGTAGCCTGCAGGAGGGAGTGATGTCTGCTGTCAGGATGGCTGAGTGGTGAGGAGAGATGCCGCAGCTGTCAGGACGGCCGAGCGGGGAGGAGAGCGGAGCCGCTGTCATCCTTTCAGTTTTTTTTTTATGTGAAAATTACCCCTCCCCCCACACATATTATTAGACATTAGTGCAAAGACTAAAAATTCATTTCATATGAAATGAACGAAAGCTAAAAACGTTTTCATTCGTTTCATAAAACAAAACACATTTTTATGCTATTTTGGATTCAGCCACTGGCGTGTTCTGGAGGCAGGGCGCATGACGTCATATAATACCGCACGTGTTGGGCGCCGACATCTTTGCTATATATCTAGGTATACACCAAGATGGCGGTGCCTATATTGGTGTCGCCATCTTGGTGACGTCATGCTCCCCGCCTCCAAGATGGTGGCACACATTCACAGAATGCACCAGTGGCCAACATGGCCGCCGCACATTCTCAAACAAATTATTATGTATTTTCATATCTCTATAGGTTGAACTCGATGGACATGTGTCTTTTTTTAACCTGACTAACTATGTAACTATGTGCCTGAATACATTTTTCGTATATTCGGGCAAATAGTAATTCATGAATTTAACATGTAGTTTTGTGTTCTGCTTTTTATTTTTTATTTTCTAGATTCACTTAGTTGAAATGACATTCTGCATCCTGACACTTTATTTTTATAGACTCTATTTTAGTTTGACATTTATTGTTTACCATTTGTTTGCCTGCTGTTGTTTTATTTCATAAGAATACTTATATTGTGCCTACGCAATAGGTTGGACTTGATGGACTTTCTTTATTCAACCTCAAATACTATGTATGTAAGTTTAATAGCTTTGAATAAAAGTTTTATTTTTTATCATACTTTTAAATATGTTTCTTTGGGGCTTAACAAAATGGGAGTCTTTAAATGGTATGGATATTGGAAAAAAATGGGTGTGGTCACTGAGGGGTGTGGTCACTGAGGGGGGCTGTAAAGCTTTCTCGCACAGGGCGCCTAAAGGCCTAAGGCCGGCCCTGTGTCAGAGTCAGATGCATATTCATAACCTTGTAAATTACATTCCTACACTAAATGCTATGGCCCCATCCCAGCAGCAGGTGGAATTAACCCCTTCGTGACGGGAGACGCACACTGTACGTCCCGCCACAAAGGGACCAAATTACTCGTCACGTACACTGTACGTGACGAGTTATTTGCGGCACTAGAAGGCTGGTAACCGCTGAGAATCAGCGGTTACCATTCATTAATGGATGCCTCACTATAGAGGCATCCATTAATAAAAGGGTTAACCTTTTTCAGACACCCGATACCTGAAGATCGGGTGTCTGAGAGTCAAAACAGAGCTGGCATGTTTGCCGGCTTTGCTGGCATTCTGACAGCTCGTATAGATCGAGAGATATCTCTCTCAAGCTATACTGGCTTTTTTTTTTCTTTCACTTTCAGGGATACATACATAATGTATCCCTGAAAGTGAATTCCTGAAAGAAGAATGTTTCAGTTTTCTGATGGTTGTTGGAACAATGAGAAAACATTTAGTGATAGTTGAATCCTGAACTGCTGCAGGATCAGTGTCACTAACTTATTATTGGCTGTTCTGAAGTTTGAAGCAGCCTGATAATAACCAAAAATGTATTAATTTATCAAGCAGTCATAGTGAGATTAATTCACAATGACTGCTTGATATAATTAAATAAATAAAATAAAATTTTTAAGGTTAAAAAAATAGTTAAAAGTGTAAAAAAAATAATAATAGTGAAAAGTGTAAAAAAAAAAAACTAAGTGTAAAAAAATAATAAAAGGGACAAATAAATGAATGTATTTATTGCATTTTTTTAGCTGTGCTGGTGTTGTAAAAAAAATACTACAAATCAAAACTGGGAAAAAAGTGTTGTTTTGTAAAAAAATACTACAAATCAAGCCCGATCTGTCCTCTAAAAAACAATATATAATATGTGTGGGTGCACTTTGTAAGAAAGTATATTACTGACGTGGAAGAATCACACAGCAAAAATGTCAAAAGTGTGTCAGTCATTTACAAACAGAAACTAAAAACAAGCTCAGTCATGAAGGGGTTAATCAACCTACCAAGCTTAGAAAAAACTTGCAAAACTGAGAACAATTGATGCCCAGACTGACTACAGTCCTGCAATAAACACACTAAATTTAATAGTGACACAACTGCAGATGGCAGGGTCACAACACATAGATCTCTGCACTTGAATTTCCAGGTCTGGATATAATCTCTGGCAATTACAAACAGATCTCACACTTACTGCTACTGCTCGCGGTATACTGAGACCCCGCAGCTGAATCGGATCCAGGCAATTATGTCTGGATCCGCCCAGCTGCGTGACTGACAGCTGGCTCTGTCTATCTAGAGGCAGAGCCAGCGGTACCCGCCCCCCTCCCCCGTCCGTTCCGCCAGTCAGCCCTGGTAGATCGGAGCGGGGAGGGGGGAATCCAGCCCCTCCCCTGTCACGGCAGAGAGCCGTGACAGGATCGAGAGGTGAGCGAACGCCGGTATGTGTTCGCTCACCTCCCGATCTACTGAGCCGACCTGTGACAGTCTCATTGTCACAGGTCGGCTAGAACTATGAGGTGAGTGAAAAACACTCACCTCAAAGTTCTCCTTTAACTGATTGTTCCAAATTAATGTGGATATAAACAGAATTAGGAATTGTGGTAAGGAGATCACACAAATATTGCAGTTTGGGTGGACTGACTGCTAAGCAGCAATATCACGCACATGTTTACAAGCATTGCAGAGATTATCCTCATTATTAGTTTTCATAATTTTTTTTTTTTAATTATTAAAGTTGATTGACCTTCAAAGACTCACAATGACCCATAAAAACTCCTTAACAAAGCAACTATTTTCAAAAGTGACAGTTGTCAAATTGCCAGTCTACTCTCCCTCCCCCAGACACACACACTGACCAGAGATATACCATCATTTAGCACTCCTGTTGGTCATCCAAAAGTTTTATTAAAGATAGAACCCAGAAAGTGAAAGAACCAGTACCCCCACACTCCCTGGCCTATCAATGGAATGGTAGGGGGACTTGACACTCTCAGCCACCTATAGCAGAAAAGAGTCAGGAGTATGTAATGCTGATATTCAGGCTGCGTTCTTCCAAAATCTATAGCGGTTATTCACTAAAGAGCAGAAGGATGTAGCCAAACCTTCGGCTCACTTCGGCTGCAGTTTAGCCTTCGGTTGAGAAGAACCGAAGGCCTGCTGTACACGGGCATATCTACCGCAAGGCAAACTAAGCATTTGCCTTGGGTGGCACCTTCCAGGGGGGCCACAAAAAATACCATCCCCTAACCCATTAACATGGCCACATCATGTTCTCATCGGCTGGTTGAGGACCTCCAGACACACTGCACAATCATTGCTGGTGTTGGTCTTCTATAGCCAGGGCTTGGTGATCTCTGCTTCATTTGCTGCTCAGCATGGATCCCATGTTCGGAGTGTAAAGAAGACTGTATGGGGAGTCCGGAGAGTCTTGGGCACAGTTTATATGTAACCGGCTAACAGAAGGCGAAGAGAAGTCCTCTCACCCCAGCCACAGGCTGCATACAGCGGGCTCTCACAACTCACGTCCTCCTCAGGTAATGCTCCTTCATGGCTCCCAGGGTTCAGCCCCGCTGGGTTTTCAGATGGATAATTTTCTCAGTCTTCAGCATGGCTGCAGCCCATCTCACCGACAACAGTGTCAGCTGTGCTGAGGTGGGAAGAAACACCCACTTACTAGATGTTTTGATGGCTCTCAGCAGTCTTGTGTGCGGATGACCAAGCGAGTCACATGTCTGTGTGCCCTCCCCCCAGCACAAAACCATTCACACATATTATATTCAGTGACAACAAAGTGACCCCATGTCACCCCCAGTCATCCCAGGCTGGCTGTTGTGTTCCCATAATGAATTTCTATTTATTCAATTCAGTGACAACAAAGTGACCCCATGTAACCCCCAGTCACGAAAAGCTGACTGTGGTTGTGTTCCCATAATGAATTACTGTTTATTAAATGCAGTGACAACAAAGTGACCCTGTCACACCCAGTCATGCCTGGCTGGCTGTGGTTGTGTCCAGAGGTGTATCTACCGCAAGGCAAACTAGGCATTTGCCTTGGGGTGCACTCTTACGGGGGGGGGGGACAAAAAAAGCCACGCTGAA